GAATAGGTAAAATAAAACTGAGATACCTGAAAAGAAATGAGATGATAGAGCTGTCCTGTATTGCCTCTTATAATCTGCCCTTCCAACTATCCTCACTGTATAGTCTACAGTTCTGGAGTTCTCTTCATTCCAAATCAGCAACCAGCGGCTGCGTTACCTTTGCAGCTAGAACAAAAAGTTCTGTGGGTGCCACATCTTTGTAATAGGAATGACACTAATTCTGTGACCTCTGGAGCAGGAGGATGGCCGTAGCTATTCTGCATTTCAAGTGACTCATCCATACAAGTGTAGGCACACATGCCAAAAGCCATTGCAAATGCTAAAATAAATGTTGCCAGCCAGACTGATCTTTACTGTTTATTGAAACCTTTACAAAAAAAAGGTGGGTTAGTAGAAATCAGGAATGCCGTTTGCTCTTTAGCACCAGGTCATTATGTTGTCTCACAAAGGTACACTTAGGGAATTGCTGTCTTTAAAAATACTCCCAGTGTACTGTGAGTGCTATGTATCTGTGTAGATTTTGACCCAGCCGGCAAAGTCAAATTAATCGAGTTCATCATAAGCACACTGTATTCTAACAATATAGCAAATAAAATTCTAGATATCCCGATTAACAAAGAATATCATACTCTCTGACCCAGAAAAACAACATTTAATTTCTTGGTTATGGGATCTCAGCAGGCTTTGCTTGTGACAAGCGTAGGAGTTATTTTCTCTCTATGTTATGTTTTTTTACCAAATGTTTTAAAAATTGCTTAAAGAACCTAAAAGGTCATTTGAAAGTCCTATTTTTACTGTCACAGCCTCCAAATTACATTCCATAACTCAGTTTAATGTGATCTGCAGAAAGCCAAGATTTTTACAAGCCAAGATATTATGTCTAGTCCAGTTAGAGACACGACAAAGTTCAGTGAGGAGGGGAGAGTGAAGATCTAGTTTAAGAAACGTAATTTTGCAATGCCTGTAAAACATGGAAGGAAAATATCTCTCTGCATTCAATTTTGATGACTGAACATGTTCATGACCTTTCCTAAGGTAGAGGACCCCTACCAAGCGCTTTATGAGGAAATAGACAAATGTCTGAGGACATCTGTTTAACAGCATGTCAAGACAAGGTTCACTAGCCCCCCAGAGTAGTCCCTGCTCCTGTAAATAACTTTCTTCTGGCTTCACCACCCACAAGTCTCTATAGTCCATAAGCCACTACAGAGAATAGTGGGGTTGGAACTTGTGTTACTACTGATACTGCATCCATCCACTGTATCTTCAGATGAGGAAATCTACTGTGAGTAATTTGCATATATTCGATATAAATTTTATATAGAGATCCTTTATCAGGCCACATTCATCTCCATAGGTACAAAATATGTTGAACTAGAAGTGGATTAATCTGTGTCAGACTAGCCTGTTGCATTGTAGGGGCAAGAAGTTACTCATTTGAGTCTGGACTGTGATTCTGTCAGCGTTACCCTTCCGGTTGCATGTTGATAGTGGACCGCTTTAATCTTCCCAGTAGTCACAGTACTTTGCAGTATTTGGCCCCACATCCTTGGTTTATACAAGTCAGCTGCCATCAGTGTTTATGTGAGCCATTCCAACACTGACAAGATTCTTCGCATCTTTGCTTTTTATTAACTATTTTCTTGACAATCTTACTATGACTACCAAAGTCCCACATTGTTTGGAGTTCTTTTCTCCTAACTGCTGGCCTTAAAAGCTTGGGTGACTGGAGTATCTTAAATCCACGTTATCTTTCTCTGTGTTACAGGAGGGCTGAGGTAAATCAGAATAATCAACAGAGGCTTGCAAAGAGATTGTTTTGTTTCATTACAGCTGCATTTGTCTCAGCAATTCACTGAAAATTTTCATTCCTACTTATTTTGCAGTTGCACAAAAAGTACAAACCCACGGCTGGCCTCCACTGCATGAGTCAGACAGCAGACCCAGAACAGGGCACTTGTGCTGTCTACAGTTTTTCAGTCATCCAAGGGTTAATACACAAGGTCCTCAGATTAAGACTTTAGTATGTTTGCTAGGTAGGCATCTGGAGATTCAGAAAGAAATCTTGCTTATGTAAAGACTCTTTTGTTTTCCTCCTTGTTTTTCCATGAAGATGGTTTCTGGCGTGGTATTTTAACTCCTGATTATGACTTCTGAATATAAACTCCTGTAATTTTCTTCAAAGAGACCTATATGTTATTGTAAATCCATTTGGCTTTTCCTAGTAAACTAGTAATCCTGTCAGTGAGGCTCATGGGAGGAATTTAAACAACTGTATTCTGCTCAGTGGAAGTGACAGAAGCACACATTTCAGTTGTTGGAGTATCAGCCCAGTTGTTTGTTCAGTAGTACTTGTACTGACCTAAAGAAAGTCATTTCAGATTTACATTGTCATAAATAAGACCATAATTTTGCTTATTCCAGTACATGACCAGTGTTAGCAGAGCACCACAGATCCTATTAAGTGTTTACAGACAGGAATAACAATTGCTTCTTCCCTCACTCTTCCTGACTTACTATCTGTCAAGAAAAATAGTTTTGTTTTGCTGTGGTTATTGTGCTTACTTTGTGAATGTGAGTGATTGTGGTCTGAGAGAGTTTGGGATATGTCTAAAAGTAGTCATGAGTACATTTGGCTTGATAGTTCTGCAAAAGTGTCTAAAATGTAGGAATTTATCCTACATTCATTCTTCCAGTTCACTTTTTCCTTCAGTGGTCATCGAGGCAGTCATCCTATGAAAATTTGGTCTCCTGTATGGGTATTTTTTAACATGATTTTACTGTCTGGTGGCCAAACTAGCTATGTTTGGTTGCATGTGATAGAGGGTACAGAAAAAACATGTTCGGGGAGAGTCCATGCAGGCAGCTAAGTGTGTGCACTGCACAGGAAAATCATTGCTGTTAGTAAGAGAGAAATATTTCTATTTCATCTTTCTTGGATTTGGTCTTTCATTCCTGATATAATTCATTTTGATACAGAAATAATCATTGGGTGATTCACTGAAAACCTAAGACACTAAGATATTTCATAGCTTATGTCTAGAAATTAACTTTCGTTACGTGGACATTTGGATATCAGATTTGAGAAATCTAAAAGGGTGTCAGCAATGAGGTCTGACTCAGAAGTGCCTGTTGGGTATTCTGCACCATGGATACCAGAGCATTTTTTGAAGTGTATTGCCTTCTCGTAGTACTTTTTTAGTCCTTCTTAATCTTAGTTTATCAATTGCATTTAACCTTGTACTGCTGTAAGCTAAGCATTGTTAAACTTGGAAGAGGTTATTGATCAGTACTGTAGGAAAAAGGGATGCCATAGAAGGCTGCCATTCAGACTCCGAGTGGTGTTTAATAAGTATGCAAATACAACAGGAGGAAGGAGTGACCCTTGAAGAAAAAGTAAGGTTTTGATAATGGAGGAACAATTATGTCACTCCCAGCTCATTTGATTAACCTCAGTAACTGTTGAAAGTGGTTTGACTGTCAAACATACATCACATTTGTCCTACCTGCATGGTTTCAATTGTTCAACTACACCATGTTTTCCTTTTCTCTTAGCCTCTTGTTTTCTAAACTGATCTATTCTCTCCTCTCCCTCCTGCTGGACCCTTGAGTGTGATCACCCAGTTTCAGTTACATGGACTTGAATATCTCAATAAGTCTTAATTGTGCTGCATGATAGCAGTGCAAGAAGTTGTTAACCACTGTTTGCAGATGATTCCTCAAAGAGTTTCCTCTAAACTTCATTATTAGGGGGTTGGAACTAGGTAATCTTAAGGTCCTTTCCAACCCTAACTATCCTGTGATTCTATGGTGGTGAGGCACTGGAATGGGTTGCCTAGGAAAGTTGTGAATGCTCCATCCCTGGCGGTGTTGAAAGCCAGGATGGACAGAGCCTTGGATGGCATGGTCTAGTGTGAGGTGTCCCTGCCCATGGCAGGGAGGTTGGAACTAGATGATCTTAAGGTCCTTTCCAACCCTAACTATTCTGTGATTCTATGATTATTTTGGGGCTCCAAATATATTTTGTTCAACATAAATTTATTGTTTATGCTTTGCATGCAGCTTAAACTTCTGAATGTGCGTTTTGCACTTGAGAAACATCAGTGTGTGGAGTGAGCACTTGTGAGCATTTGTGTCTTGAACTAAAGCCCATCCACCTGAAAATCATGGCACTAGTAAAACGAGGAAGACACTAATGCTTATTGTGTGCAGTCACATAGTCACTTGTTTCTGAATAAAAACGGCAATCGCAAATTTAAAGTTTTATGTCGGGGCTGGTGTTCAGAACACTTAACATAGAAAATTAAGAAACAAGATTATAGACTAGGTCTATCATCTAAATTCGACTAAAATGCTGCAGACTACTAATGGCACAGATGAGGTACATGGGAGTAGGAAAGGGCAACCTTACAGAAGAAAGGGGATCATGTGTGAAGACAGTAGTGTTAATGATTTGAATTGACTACAAAATTAGTCACATTTTTAATCTTTTAACTTTTAGAGTTAGGGGTTTTTTTACACCTTTAAAGGGTCACGTAGAGTTTAATAGTGATAAATTCAGTTGAGCCCTATAAAGATTCAAAAGCTCTTTTAAAAATCTATACAAAACTGTAAAATAATACAGCAGATGATACCTCCTGTGGACTGAAAATCAACTGATACAACTTCAGAGGAAAAAAAAAGAAATCTTAAAATGCTGTGGTATATTTTCTTTAATGTTGTGGTTGATTAAATGTCAAATGACAAATGTCTTTTCTCCTGACTGGAGTTGCTGGGTACTTGTTGCTCCCATGGATTTGGCATAGGGAATTACTCGTGTTTCTGAACTCAAAGCCCTGAGTACATAGCAACTTTTGATTTGACTCAGCTTGCATGTTAACAGAGGGGTTTTTTTTTTCCATCTGAAAGTCTTGCATAAAAATCATTTCTAATTGTTTGCATTTTCTGTGGTTTTTTGGTTTTGTTCTTTTTGCCTGCTTTTGGAACTTATGACTATCCAGTGAGAAGGACACTAAAGAGTGGACTAACACCAGAAGAAGCCAAAGCACTGGGCCTCATCAGCACCTCTGAGATGCAGGTTTGACATCCTGGAGGTGGTGACGGGAAGAGCCGTTCATCTGAAGCACACAGGCTGACAGCTCTTCAGTGTGGCATTGACCTGCCAGCCTCCTCTGCTGCTCCCAACATCCCATCCTCTGTCTGTTCAATTTTAATAAGCAACGAGAAGCGAAACCCCACAGCCAGGGCAGAAGAAGGGTGTGCCGCAACTCAGCACAACATCTGGACAGAAACTGAGGAAATGTTTGAGTGAAGGGTGAAAGTAGGTGAAAGTATATGGCGGCTTCTTCTCATGATGTGTTGGTGTGGGTAGCGGGGGGCTCCCTCCGAGTTATCTGTCATTATGTGAGCTGTGTTTACGTTGGCTTACCTTGCACCCTGTTTTAGTCATTGTAAATGTATGGCATCTTGTCAATGCAACAAATAGTCCTTAAAGAGGCAAAATAAGTCCTGTTACAGCAACCCCAATTTTCCTGAAGCGGATTCATTAAGCAAAGATGCACAGTCTGTGCAACCCTGTGGTTTGTTGGGTTTTTTATTATTTTGCCACCAAAGAATGTAAAAATGTATGTGTACCTTTGTATATGTACAAAATGAATGTGTGGACGTATATGTGCAAGTATCTATACACATACAGTCGTGGTGTGAAATCATGCTCTTGCTGAAGCTAGCTGGACTATGATTTTCACTCTGGGGCCTTACTGTTCCACCTGGACAGGAGGAAAAGAATGTCTTTTCATAGGAACTCAGTGTTATTCAGCGGGATTCACGCTGTTGGGCAGGAGATGGCAAAGTTTAGGATCCTGAATTCATATGTATTAATACACACTCATACTGTAAGTAGCAGCATGCACACAAAGGAGAGGACATGGTATGCCTCCCTCCTGTTGAGCTATGGCTGTACGGTGCATTTGTACAGTTTCAAAGAGACCTATGCCAACAATTTCACATACTTGATAAATGCATTCAGATGCTAAGATCAAGAAGTTTTGTTCACTTGCCTGTGCCCTTCATGCTGCTTTTCTCTGCTGCAAGATAATGTGGTGGTGATTTTATTTCAAATTAATGGATCTGAATATGAAATGGCCCTGCTAAAAGCCTGCTGTGTTTTTGCTGTTCTTTATTTCTGTGACTGTTTTTAATGCAAGTGGAGAGGGTACGACAGTGAACACTCTAATATGTTTGCCCTTATCTCGCTCTTTTGTAACTTTTATAACTGCCCTCAGCATGTGTGTCTGAAGAACTTTTAGTCAACTCATCTGCCTTTAAGTGAAGGGACATATACAGCAGTGAAAATGAATTGAACACAGTCACCCTAGCCAGTGTTGAAGCATTTTGAAGAGAACTGCAAACAACAATAATATAAAAGGGAACTTTTAAAGCCAAAGTCTGTATATGGCAAATTGATCCTCAAGGGTTTTCTTTCCACTGCCTTAGCCTCCAAGATTAAGGGTATGTCTGCACAGCAGTAACAGCTGAGGCTTCCTCCAAGCTAGTTAACTAGGGAACTGCGGCAGTTTAGTCATGGTAACAGGGTTCGATTTTGGCTGCAAAACACACTTGAAAAGTAGGGTTGTTTAACAGCCTATGCTGGGCTGCTAATGCCATAGCTGTGTTACTTCTGGCATCCAAGCTAGGGGAGATACTTCAAGTTATTCAGCTCTCATTAAAGAGAGGAAAATCACTGAAGGTTGTTCAGGGTAGTTAAACCAAACACTATAAACCTTTGAAACCTCGGTCATTCATCACATCACAATGATCATAACTTCGAAGTTGTGAGAGAACCAGGTAGCTGAAAACACTGCAGTGAGATTTGTGGTTGAACATCCTATCTGTGCTGTTTATTTTTTTGATCATAACGTTTCATTCTTTATCTGCTGATGCCTTGGATCTTCACATGTCAAAGTCCATGGGGTAAAAAGTCACTGATGAGTAACAATTCTTAAGGACGGCAATGAGTTTCATGTGGTTTTCCTCTCAACTTGTTAAAAAGTGGATTTTACAGGTAGGCAGAAGGCAGTAGTTGTGTAATTAATAAAATGTGTTGTGTATTTGAAAGCTATGGAAGGGGAAGCTGGTTAAGATACAGAAGGAAGTGGCATATAATAAATTTCACTGTAAAATAAGTAAGATTGAAGAGCATCTGGGTTTTAAAGTGGATCTTTATGTGCTGCTCACCATTATGGACTTTTAAAATCTCTCTTAAGAGAAAAGGTGCTTAGGACAAAGAAATGAAGGTTATGGGGGTTTGTGGAGGTCTTTGAAGTCTGAAATGACAGGTAGACACCCTGAATGTAATGATTATGTTAAACTGCGATACTTGCTGAATGATAAAAGAAGCAAAAAGGCAACAAAATACATCTATGCTGATGCTGACAGAGGTCCTATATTTTATTGGAGGGAGAAAATCAAACACATTTTTAAAACTGAATATTTTAAAATATGCTGAATGTGCAAAGTGGGTGGCTCTTGGTGACCACTTGCTAACAGGAAACAAATTTGTGCTTCATTAGTACAGTATCAGTGTTTGAAATACGATATATAACATCGTTGATGAATTACTAACAGTTGGGCATATGTATTTTCCAAGAATTGTGCAAAAACTTTGCAAAACTTTTTATGCTCCTTATGGAGGGGAAAATGCAGTTTGGGGAATGGTGTTAGAATAAGTTCAGGGGGAAAAATAACAGCCGGTTTCTTTGATATTCTCTGGATGCAAGTGTCTCACATCTGAAGCTTATTCTTCCTTGTCAATTTTTCCATTATGTTTAGTTTTCTATTGCTTCTCTCTATCTGTGAAACTGATACCCATTTTTCTGAAAAGTAACTTGGTCTTGTTTTTGCAGTAGTGTACAGCTCAGATTAATTCCACATCCTCAGCGTTTATTGCAACCAGATCATCAAACACAGTAACTTGCAATAGCTACAGAAAAGATTTCTATTTGGGTTCCTGATAAAAATGGCCAGTGGCCATCTGTAAGGTGGCAGGATTTCCTCCAGAGTTTGTCAGCATGTCCTACCTGCGGGAACAATATTTGTTCCCCTTCACTTAACTAGTGGATTCCAGATGAAATGGAGGAATTGATTACATTTGCATGACTCTGTCTAATCAGGTTGTAACCTTCAAATTTTGAGTTGCTGCCTGCCCGCCCATCATCAAAAGAGCCAACCATAAGGATATCATACTTGGTTTTAAATGTGTGTGAGATACAAATTGGTTTTGTGACAAATATAAAGGTATTGGAAACACGATGTATTAACACATGTTCCCATTTCTCATTTATAGTTCCATGAAGGCTGTTTTTAAACAATCGTGGCCACAATAACTACCTCCCTTCTCTTTGCCATAGTACCAGTCAGTTGCAAATTTAGTACCCGGAGTTTTGTACTTCCACCAAGCTCTCAGAGTTGCTGCTGGTGTTCATTTCAACACCCATCTGCTGCCAATAACTTGTCTGTCCATCTGCCACCATAACGCCTTCCTGATTCGGATGCTGAGTAAATTTTAGCATATGAAGTGACTGCTAAAGGGAAGCTATCCTAATTTCTTTCCATCTCCCTTGGTTTTTAAAAGCAGACTGCATACAAATACTTTGTATTCCCTCATTCCCAGCTGAGGGGTAACTTTCAGTAGCAGTTATGTGGCTGCGGTGAAGAAACACCCCCAGGGAATGCTGTGTGCCCCAACTGAGAGTGAAAGATCCCTCACGAAAGTTGCATTCATCACTCTTCACCTTTCAGTAAGGCCAGGCACCAGGCTTATGGATTCCAGATGTTTCATAGCCCCTTGGCTGCTACATGTGACCCTTCTGTTTGATAGTTACCTGTCCATAACCCAAAATCAACAAAAAGTGTTTTTTTAAATGAGGGTCTTTCTTGCTCCAATAAATACTGGAAACAGCATCAAAAGCAGTTTTCAAAATACATTTCTTTTTCCCTTTTGACACCCTTTTATTGTGAATCTTTGCAGTCATTGACTGTCAGCAAAATAAGGCATCAGTTTTATAGACAGACAAGACATTGGCTTTAGCTTAATAGAAAATCACATGAATATCTAGATAAGAGTGCTCCATTCTCCCTCAAGGTACTAGACAATGTGGCAGGATAACACCTTAAATCCCCTGTGTGCTATGCCCTAAGCGTACCACACAATACTGTGTAAGTATTGTTTTTACAATGCTTTGATTTCACTGAGATGAGATGGGGACAAGGTGCTAACCTACCAGTTTCACGTCCTTTATCCTCCCGTTCCCTCTCATAAGTAGGTGTACATGCTGCCTGCTTTTATCTGAAGGTTGTACAGGGACATGGTGTCAGACAGAAGCACAAGCATATTCCTCTCTCATTTTCACTCATCTGTGCTCACTACACACGTACCTCTCCTCTCATTATCTTCATGGCGGGTTTTGTGTGTGCATGCATAGGCAAAGCCTGACCCTGTGCTGTGTTTGGATTATGGCTTTGTATTTCCAGCATTGGGATGCAAGAAACACTTGCCTAAGCTGCAAGGACTATGACTGTTGATGTTCCTCTGCAGGGAAAACTGCCAGGTACTTACAGGCTCTGAAAGAAAATAAACTGAAGCATTTTTGAAAGAGAAAAATGTTTGGTTATAGGGAACTGTTGAAAATCATTTGCAAACATGCGACCAAGATGTAAGGCCTACCTTTCTTCTTTTCAGCTGGGGCAACAACTGGCTCAACTGGCATTGCAGATGCAATCCCAATAAGTTTTTGGCAAGTGGTTTGATAGTTACATAGCAAGAGACGCGAGGAGTTTCAGAAATGTTGTATAGTTTTATGTTTACGCAAAAAAAAACTATTAAAATTATTTCTAATTAGTCCATTTCACATTGAGTGGCAGATAGAGATATATTTTGTTTAATCACTATCTAATACAGAGGCTTCTGTGAAAGAAAAGGTTTATTTGTAGCATTGGGAGCATTTCTCCTTTTTAAAGACTGTCTTTGCGCGCATAGTGTCCTTTTTCGTGAGCTGGGAATTATTGTAAAAAAAAATGTAAAGTAGAAAAGGACGTGTTTCTTAGACGAAGGAGAAATACTGTAAAATTGTGTAAATGTCACTACTCATGGGGGTTTTTCATGTTCTGTGTAGCATAGTGTAAAATAGGCTTTCCAGCAGTGTTATTCTGTGAATTGTAATTTAAAAAACAAGCCATGCATGGTCAGAGATATTACCTACAGGTCCTTTTGGTTGAGTTTTTGGTTTTGTTTGTTGTTTTCTCATTTTAGGTGAATTTATGTTAAATTTAATTGTCCGTGAAACTGCATTTTTTTGTTTCTCATTTTTATTTCATAAAGAACTTGAATTACTCTTTAAGGTTTTATTACACACAGAGCTCACCTACCATTTGTATCTGTCCTTCAGAGGCTTTGTCACACTTAGTGTAAACGGGAGGTGGCGGTGCTGTGTGTTTCTTTTCAATGCACCCCTCACCTGCCCCTTCTCCCCCCACTCTCCCCACTTTACTGTCTGGAAAGATGCAATCGCACTTCTTTTTTCCTTTATTTTATTTTTTCCTTTTTTTTTTTTTCCTGTGCCATGCAGGGTCAATATGGAAAACTGACCACAGACCTGTGTCCAAAATTTCTTGATATAAGTAGTTAAAAAGCTCACCTCTACAGCATTATGTAAACACATCTTGCAATAAAGCTTTATAAAGCACTGACTGGGCTGATTCTGGTTTTGTTGATGAAGCCAATCATGGTGGGAAATGGGTGGGAAAAGGGGTCATGGGTTGTGCTTTTTCATATGCTCCAAGTACCTGCAAAGCCACTATGTGGACAATGAAACAGCTGCCATTAAACCATCTGGGTGGTCTGAACATAAAAAACTGATCTTTTACCCCTGGTTTCACAGTTTGAGCATAATTCCTCATCTTGAGTGAAGAAAATGAAAATGTATCTCTGGTTCCCTAGGATTTCAGTAATCCAACACTACAAATCCTCACTAAACATAGAAGGTTACTGCTTGCTGCCAATGGCTCAGAGTTGGTTCCTGCCTTAAAAATACTCTGTGCACAGGGCACATTGCAGAAAGGTATGAGATTTATAGAAGCAAATACAAATAACATGAAAGACTACCTATGTGCAGGGGAGCATTTTGGATTGCCTCTGCATCAAGACATGAAACACTTGCCATGCCTGCTAGGGCTTCATAAATGTAAATGCGACCAGTAAACGAAACATGCCTTTATCTTGGCTGAAATACATTTCTTGCATCACTGTGGTGTGTAATTTTCTGGTGGCACCTAACAGTGCACCTGGGCAGGCAGCAGTCTTCCAGTTTTCTCTATTTCCTGATGTCTGATTCTTCCTTTTCTTACCATTTCCCAGCACTTGATGGAGGCTGGGTTGACATACAGGACAGCCCTGGCCCTGTGGATGGTGAGCCATAGCACAGGGACTCTTGCATCTGCTCTGCCCACAGGTTCAGTATCTACAATGAGGAGAGGTTGTCAAAGTGACATGTCGAAACTCAAAAGGATCAGATTTTCAGTGCAAGTCCTGCAACAAGCTACCCAAAAAGAATTGCTCTTTAGAATTGCACATAAGGTCAAAATACATTATTAGAAGACAGCTACATGTGTTTATAGCAGCATCCTGAAAGATAAAGTAGGTTAACTGAGAGTCTGAGAGAGATTTTCATCTGTGATTTATGAGATTGTGAGAGCTGATATAAAATGCTAGGTATGTGAGCCTCCATAGGGGAAAATACCACCTTCCTCTGTTTTAATTAGCTTCTAAAGTTATTTCAAATTAAAAAAAAAAGTGTCTTTTGTGATACAGCTGCATCCCTGAAAGAACTGCTTAGCATTCCAGATGCACTGGTGTAAAGTCTAGAGGATGAACGGCTACTAGCCAGAAATGTGGTAATGCTTTTTAAAATAAATATATAAACCAAGTTTATTGGCCAGACACTTTTCTTTTCTATCACAGCATATCCATTAGCAATTCTAAATTCCAGATGTGCAATGACAATGTGCACACATATTTTTCAGGGCTGGTGCCCAGTCAGAACTCATATGCTGTCACAGCGAAGCCTCTGGCCTGTAGTCAGGGAACAAGTAAGTATGCAGATTATCCATTGCACAGCTGCATGCCCTGGTTTATAGACCCTTCAGAACAGATTGAGAACACACAACTGAAGAAAAAAATACATTTTTTTTTTCCTATTATAACTTTTCCAAGTTTTCTGACGGGAACGCAGCTTGGAAAAGGGAGAGGGCTGTTCTTGAAGCTTTACCTCTTGCAAGTTTCTTCATGAGAAATGAGGAATGATGGCTGCATTCCATTAGTCCATTGTCTGATGAGATGGACCTCTGCTGGAAATCCTGACAGAACACAGTCTACGTGAGGTGTCATGCCAATGAGGGCCTCTCTGCCCAGCCCTTCCTCAGTGATTTTTGAGCAGGAGAAGGACTTACCCATCTGCAGAGGAATTCTGGTGTATGATACTGCTTTTCAGTTCCCAGGAATCAAAGGGTGCTTTTCTCCTTCCCAGCGCTCATCCCTCTTTCACTGCTCCCCCAAGCTGTTCCCTCATTTGAGCTGAGCCAAGAACCCTCCATTTATTTTTTATTACTCTTCCAACTTGAAAACACCATGGAGCAGTGTATAGAAGATGTGTACCAGCACTGGGGAGGGTGGGACCCTTTCAGTGTCCCAGGTAGGACTCACAGGATCACTGGGTACATCCTGCACTTTTATTTCTGCAATAGTGACCAGAAATGCTTTAAGCTTACATTAAAATCTTGAAAATAAGTTTATAGCCCTCTCTTGGTGAGTGTTCAGATCTCTCTGCCTAAACAACAAAGTGACTAGTCTCAACTTCTCTATAGATTTTCCTTTGTTTGGTCCATACTTAAGGTAATACAAGAAGAGAAGCATTTAACAAGCAACAAAGAAGAAAACATTAGTGAAATCCAATGGCACTTGAAACTGGACAAACATGAAGGCAAAGGTGAGGTCAAAACCATGTCATAGCCTCCAATAAATATTGTACTAAATCTTTCTCAAGGCAGCATTAGCTAAGCTTGTCTTGGGAAGAGCCCCACATTTGCTTAACAGCAGAGGTTTAAAATCTTCTCCCTGGTATAGGGAGCACAAAAGCCCTTCCAGAACCAGGCAGAGCTCAGCTGAAGGGCCGACAGGTGACAAAGGCTCTGGAGCATATCCATCACCTCAGAGGCATGTGCCATGACCAGCATGAATGAATATAAATGTTTGTACTAAAACCCTTAGAGTAACCTCTGAAAACAGGTATCCAAAAGGTACAGGAGGGTGGAAATTCTCCTTTTTAATACTCAGACTCTTGAAATACTCAGACTCTTGAACGAGAGCTCGAAAATAAAATGAATCCTCCTTCCATCCTTTGTCCAAGCTTCCTATAAATATGCACTGGGAGGCTTAAATAATCTTGGCAAGATACAGCAAAGGAAAATTATTGTTAAAAAGAGGCCCTGGATATCGTTTCAACAAACTTTTTCCCCACATAAACTTATGGAAAATTATTGACCTCATAGCAAAGTCAAGAAAGAAAAACTTCTTGCAAAATGCCAAGATACCTATTTGAACGTGAACTAGACTGCTTTGACACAGGTTTGTCTGGAACACCTCCCAGGAATGCTGTGTTAACCATGGGGAGCAATAGCTGTGGAGATTAATAAACAAAAATCTAAATAATCATAGTGTCAGCAGTGATGATCTATATAAAGCTAGCTTTATATGTATATGAGTATAATGATAAAGAAAGTATATTGAATATCAGGCAGTAGTGACTGAAGCCAAATGAAAATTTGATGCTATTGGCTCTGTGAGCAGTGGAAACAGCCTGATGGACTTCAGTGAGATTGAATCAAGCCCCCAAAGATAACTATTAGAATGTTAAACTTGATGGAAAATTGAATTTTTTTCTCTGACAAAAAGGCCCTAAATCATTTCAATCTCACCAGTTTCACTGGGGAATTCTCCTTCAAGTACAGATAGCACGCTATAGCCTGAAAAACAAGAGTGAATCCTTGTTTCCAGAGAAATTATCTCAAATGTGTTCCGATTACAAGCATGTGAGATGAAACACAGCTATCATCCAAAATTATAGAGTCTGGAAATTCTATGTGTTTTTAGAAGCCAAAGAATTGCAAAGTCTGAAAACAAAACAACCTGAAGCAGTCAATTGCAGTATTTTATTTTTTTCACTGTGGGACATGACAGCCATTAAAATTCCTCATAGGGAAATAAAATTTTAGTAGAAACTCTGTTGTTGTCACAGAGCATGTCTGCAGACAAACACTCGTAGATAGGTTACTAGAGACTAGTGACTTCAAGGCTGGTCTTAAGAACAACTGGTACAAGAAGTTTCTTGCCATGCAATTTTCTTTAATGCCATACTTCCTTCTCCAAACCTGCACCCTCCATGCAATGTTATCTTATAGAATCTTTAGAAAGGGTTATTCTTTCCTGTAGTGGGAAAGCCTGAATGACAAAGACAAGATTCTTATTTTGATATACAGGTGAACCCATGAAAGAAAACTGAAGAGATAATTTTAGCAGCCACACTTCAAATGTTGGACTGCTTGAAGCCCAGATGCAGTAGTAACTCTACAGGCTGGGAAAAGCATTTTAGCTGAATGCGCAAGATAGAAAGGCTAACTTTTAAAGAAGTTATGTATCAATTAAAATACATGAAAACAAGAAGGGGATAGATTATGACCTGTGTAACTCTAAGGAGACAAGGGCACTGTGCATGAAAAGAGAGCATAAGAAAGGGGAGGGACATCATATGTTTCCTAATTTGCCTTAAGGAGGCTATCCAAAATCTGTTTTAAAAAAGTTTGCTAATTTCACAGATTTCTTTTTTGCAGTAAGCACCAAGAATATAAATGCGACATGAGGCAATGGTCACAGAAAGGAGCCATTCTGGACCTTTCTACCTTCAGACAATCACAAATTACTTCAATGCTTGCCAGTGAGGGTATCACCTCTTGCTGGACTACAGTAAAATCCTGACTGCAGTACATGCGGTAAGTTGTGGTTCAGCTGGTGTTGCACCTCTGTATTTGGCAAAAGAAGCTTGGATTCCTCAACCTCTTGTATCAGTGTACAGGACTCTTCCTCAGGTGATCATTGTCAGCTTTATGCCTGTGACTCTGCTGTTTTCAACATCTAGTATTAAGCAGCAGTGGGCACAGAAATGGCCAGCTATTCTCCTTGGTAAAGGATACTCTTCCCTTTTCTTACATCAAGTAGCCTTAGGGCACCTTCAAGTACGTTTTGTACCTTTAGGATGGCTAAAATATTGATAAGTGCTACTAGAACTGATGAGGTCAAGGAAGAGAACAAGCTGGAGGCTGCAGACAAAATTCCAAAGAGTCTTTTAACCTCACCAAGAGAGCACAGAGAGGCCTCTCATTTCAAGGGAATTGAATATTGTGGAGATGGCTGAATTGTGCAAGACCTTGGTAAGAGATATTTCAGTCATCAGCTGGGAGGATTTGGCAAATGACTGCCTCCCCTATGCAAGTGGAAATCAGAGGTGGTTCTGAATGCTCAATGAAACTGTGCAGTTGGTTGTTCCCCTTTGTAGCCAGGAAGCTCACAAATGCCACTTATAGAACCTTTGGTTAAACTTGGGATTGCTTTCTCCTTTATCAGTCACTCTTTGGCCTCC